TGTTGAATAAACCTTTAACCTGTTTTTTTGGGGGTGGTTTTGCAAAAAAGAAAAAAAATGGCGGAAACAGAGTGCAAATACGCAACGGTGCAGCCGATTGTGATACGGAACCGTAACTCCCTCGATACACTGAATCGCAGCCAGAACAGTCTGCAGAAAGTCCACTGATCTTCCTCTTCATCATACCTCAGCCTCTGTTTGTCTCTGTAATACGTCAAACGAAGCGCCGTGGGGCTGCGAGCTGAGAGTCCACTGCAGCAAAAATGTTTTTGCTCCGCCGGGGTTATTACTCTTCCACTGTAGGACAGCGGGGGAAGGAATGGACACTGACTCAGCACGCCCGGCCGGTTCGGTCTGAGCCTGGGTAGTTTTATGTAAGCACCTTTGCCAAGAAATGAAGGGCCAGCGATTGAACTGTGCTCTAATGTGAGTCTGAGTGTGAAATTATTCATGTGCAGGGAGCGTGACCAGGTAGAGCAGCCCTGTCCCACAGTGTGACCTCTCTGCTGCTCTATTTACGACTGCTGAGCACAGAGGACTTATTATGGCTCTGGAATTACTATCATCTCCAGGATGATTCCCGTCACTTGTGGATACGCCATATTTTATTTGGACATTTTGAAGAGGAAGCACCGGATTTATCACCTGGTATTCTGCAAATTACATTGATAAAAACACGCATGCACCCTTTGAATCTGTCGAACCACAATATGTTTCACTGGGTCGTATACAGTGGCTTACAAAAGTAATCATACCCCTCAAACCTTTCCATTATTTTGCCACTTTACAACCACCAACATAAATGTATTTTATTGGAATTTCATATGAAAGACCAAAACGAATTGCTATACAATTGTGAAGTAGAAAGGCAAATTATACATGATTCAAAACACCAGACAGGTCAGGGATAACGCCGCAGAGACGTTTAAGGCAGGCTGAGGCTGTAAAAAGATTTCCCAACCTCTGAACACCTCACTGAGCGCTGTTCAATCCATGGTCCGGAAATAGAAAGATTGTGGCACAACTGTAAACCTACGGAGACAAGGCCGTCCACCTAAAACGACTAGGTGAACACTGATCAGAGATACAGCCAAAATTCCCCTGGTATTTTGTACCTAATGTACAGCGTGTGCAGAATCGTCGCCTGGACTCTTTGGTTTACTGAAGTCACACTCCATCACTTCCTAAGTCTCTAGACACTTTAACTAAAGCCAAGTGAAACTACTCTGAAGCTGAAGATGTGAAGAACAGTCTGCAGCCTGGGGTTCACTGCATTTGAACTGCAGCAAGTTCTCAGTGCTGTACTTACTGCATCTAATGAGCAATGTCAGGGTCTAATAAAATAAAGTGTGCACATAGCATTTTAAGACTGCCTTGCAAACTGAAAAAAGAAAAAAAAAACAACTCTAGTACTGTAACTGCTGATGCTTCTGAATTAAAGGGGTGGTCTGTGTTCAGTGGTCAGTTCGTGTGTCAACATGTGAACAAAAAACGTTGCGTAAGTCGTAACCAGACAGTGCTAACCCAATATACTTGATTGACCATCGGAAAGTTTGGATGCATGTATGAAGGAGGCACACTGCATCTGATGATACATTCTTCATCCAAATTGTCAAAAGCATCTCTCATTGCCATAGAGCTCTGTGCAAAGTGTTGTGTGATTGGTCCGCAGTTTGTTGCCATGTTTTCAGAAGGCAATATTAATATTTTTCTTCAACTGGTCCACTTCCAGGTTTTGTATTTGCAGGACACATGGATACTTTTGAGGAACATGTATTTGACGTGGTGAGGAATTATGTATATTTGCACCATTCTTCACTAAATAGCTACTGTAGTAAGACTGGAAAGTGGTTAATATCTCCTGGAAGGAAATTGTGACGGAGGATGCTGTCTGTGGAAAAGTGGGGGACTAGTTCTGCGACTGTTTCATCATAGGGTAGTGCTGTGTGGAGCTCTGTCCCCCAGGTGGTCTGCGCTGATGTATGAAAGATGCATTTGAATACAAACGTGCCAAAACCACGTGACTGCGCATCGACTGTTCAGCTTCTGGAGACCAGAGCTGCTGTCCATCAATCTGGGAAGGGTTGTAAGATCACACCCTGTCAGTTTGAAGTATATCCCGTAACAGCCTGATAGGCTACCCAAAGTAGACACTTCTCAGTCTTCACAAGGATGGGAAGAATCTTTCTAAAAAGAATATGACAGGCCAACAAGAGGTGTGTACGAGATTGTATTAAACTTAGCTAAGTTGCTAAGTCCAGTCATAAGGCAACATTCTGGCTATAGGCAACTCAGAGTGCTTCTCAAAGTATGCAGATAATGCTTGTTGTAAACATTTAAATAAATAAATTTTTTTTTTTTTCAAAAATAAACAAACCGATTAGACATCAACATCTGAGCATGTCTACTACAATAACTGCAGGTTCAATGTTGTTATGGACCGGCGGACCAGTCCAGGATGGACACCGCCTCTTGTCCACTGACTGCTGTAGTTAGCCACCAGTGACTCGGCAAGGATAAGCAGGTTCAGACAATGAAAGTATGGATGCATATTTAATGGGATGTATCTGATGAGCTTTAAGGGTTTGGGTCAGAGTTGACGGAGTTATTCAATCTCTCCAGCAGTAGACAACCTAACATTTGATCACCAAAGTGGCGGCGGACATCGTCAAAGGCTCGGTGCCTCAACAGGCAATGACTGCAGTGATATCTAACCGCAGCAGCAACTCACAGCAGAGAACCATCCTTTCTGAACCCACTTTCTACTTTGTTTTTTTTTTCTCTATTTCATTGCTGTTGCATAACAATACTTCCCTGCATATCTGTGTCAATATTATTGCTGCTGCTATCATCAGCCGTTTCCCTCTGAAAGTTGCTCCAGGCGCTTGGCTTTGGATCGGTTTTTTATTGAGGCTGGTTTGGATCCATTAAAGATAAGAGCATTGGTGTTCTGTTGATCTGATCATCTGCTGGGTGTGTGTTTACCCGCCACAATGCATCACATACTGTACATCACTGACTAAAGGGGATTTTCATCATGTTTTGTGCTGTGAAATGCTAAGTCGAGGTATATTTTTGATTCGCTCATCAAAAATATACCTGCGGTGTTGCTTTGATTCTTTCGTGCGCGTGTGAGAAACCTTTTAATCTCCCATGGCAACCATTCAGCTGTGCAAAATGCCTGGTGAGACTGAGCAGCAGCCTTTGAGGACCCCTCCCCTCCCCACTCAGCTCCTTCAGACTAGCCAACAGCAATTAGCAAACACCTGGTGGGACTATGCTTCTCCTGAACTCATTGAGCTATTTCTCAGTGCAACTCTGGTGAAGACATTGTTAAAGGGTTAATAGAGGAGCCATGGTGTGATGACTTTCTGAAGGCGGAGCTTCAGAAATTGCAGGAGCTTCTTAAAGAGATAGAGACTCTCATTAAGAGAGGCCCAATTTAAAGGTGTTAAAGTACAAAGTCGATTCGTTTTTAAGTTATATTTGATATACACAGCATTTTTATAATGACGGAAGGTAAGATAGCTACTTGACTGTGCTATAAAACGGCACTATGTAATTGAAAAATATGTAATCCTGCTCCTTTAAGAACCATATGTTGCCCGTTTGGCCCCTGGTGGAGGGCAGATGAAGATATAGGAGAGTATCTATTGGTCAGCTGTTGAGTTGTCAGACATGCTGGCTGAGGTTGCTAATGGTCGGGGTCACGTTTGACTGCAGACTGAATCAACTGTAATGGAAATCAGTGACATTTAGACGGACCTCCTGGTTTCTCCTAGCGCTGGTTTCAATAGAAACGATTGAACCTTTTCAATCATTTCTATAAGCGTTACATCCAAAATCATGTACAAAAGCTTTTACAGGGCTTGTACCTCATTCAACAAATGTAATTGTTGGATAAAACGTGCAATAAGCAAAGCACAGCAGTTTATCGAAGGCATTAAGGCAGAAATAGCTGGAACAATCACCTAATCACAGAAACATATCATATTTATGAAGGTCTCAGTGGTCTTAGAGCTTAGCTGTGCGTTTCAGGTTAGGTTCAGTGCAATAACTCGTGTAATAGATACAGTCTGTATTAGAAGTTGAAATACACAGACTGTGGGGATGAAAGTTGTCTAATTTTGGGGTTTTTTTTAAATTGTTGTTTTCAGGTTACAGCGCAAAGCATGAAAAAAGTCAAATAAAATTCAACTGCATGAGCTTGAACTAATTGTAGATGTTTTCTTCTTCTTATGTTTTCTTCTTTCTTCTTGGACAAAAAAAAATAAATGGATGGTGTGATGATCTGAAATATTCAAGAAGGAATCTGACATGGACATCATATGTCAGATTGTGTTTTTTTTCTTCTTAGATTTGCAGTAGAATCAGAACTCTATAAAAAAAAATCAAATATTTCCTAATAACAAATATAAAAGTGATCATAAAATCATTACTGTGGGGTTTTAATGGTCAATTTGTTGTACCAGGAGTAAACAGCACTTCCTCAGCTTTGGGCTCATTATTAGCACTTCCTCTTGTTGCACTTACTGTTCCCATTCACTGTAACATACTAATTGCTCCAAACACAAACACAATTTTGCCTGCTCTGATAGCTCTTGGAAAGCTCTTAGCCCCGGCGCCAAAGTGAGGCAGCTGCTGCATGAGTGTACTCATACGCAAAGAAGCCATTTCCTGCTTGATCAGTCCTGATGCCACTGCATTATCTCGTCTTAGATCGATAAGTCTGTGCAACGTGTTGACTGTGCATTACTGTGCCCTTGGGAGGTGTACATTTTGGAACTGGGCAAAGAAGAAGTGGTCTGCCTCAGGTTCCATTTAAAAGCAGCTGGCCTTAATGCAATGCTGCCCTCTGCTGGCAGATGAGGTGAAATGAGCTGTTTTACCTCGTCTGTCATGGGGGTAGCAGTGAAATTCAGCTCTCGCTTTTGTCTCTTCCAACTTATCTGACATTTAATCTGATGTCTAATATTCATTTGTCCTTTTCTTTTTTGCAGGTATCTTATTTTCAACACTAGTTTTCGGCCCAGCTTGTGGCTTCATCCTAGGCTCCATCTGTACCAAAGTCTACGTTGATGCTGTTTTCATCGACACCAGTAAGTAGCCGCTTCGTTAATGTCGCAAAACTTCCAGAACAAAAAGGTGGAAACGTCTTACAACAAATAGCCATTTTTTTGTAAAAGCTCTGAGTGAGTCCTGCAGATTGCTTCGATTGTTTATTTCTTTCTTTCATTCAAATCCACACTTTATTTGTCTTCTTTCTAGTCATTTTCCCAGGAATAAACCAGTAGGAATGTGGGGGTTTGTCTGGCTTTGAGCTTAAAATAAAGGACCATTTAAAACATTGAGCCACTCTGGTTCCATTATGCAGTTCTTCAGCCGCAATTTTGAAAACCGAGCCATGTTTCAAAACACACTGTAAATAGCTCAACTGTCCACATACTTTGTCAAATAAAAAAACTTGCGTAAAAATCAACACTCTGGTTTAAAAAAGCACTTGCATTTTGTCGTCCCATCAAGCACACATAATTAATCATTTCTGACACCTTCAGTTTGACAGTAAAGTATGAAAATGTATGGTATGTTTCATGAAAGAGTCCTCAAAAGGCAGAAAAAATAGGAGGCCTAACAGTCCTGGGGAACACCACTGACAACTTGTTATCCAAAATGTCTGAGCTCTCCATACTGATCATGGACTGACATGTACGACTTAAATCAGGCAGGTGAAGAGCCAGCCATATCAGCTGTCATAAATGAAAAACCATGAGAAATTGAACTCAGATCAAACAAGATCATGACATGCCAGAATTTGACTATTCAAACCTTTGGCTAATAGAAAGGCTAACATACATCTGTGCAGCAGCAGTTTTTTAATCTTTATTTGTGTCCATGTAATTTTTAAGAAGCGATGACAGATTCTCAGTGGGGATAGGACAGATTGGAGTCACTTGTCACCAAAGCTTTTAATAAAGGCTGTTGCAAAATCTTTCCTTCTACTTTTTTTTGCCCAGGTAAGCTGGACATCACCCCGGATGACCCTCGCTGGATCGGGGCGTGGTGGGGCGGCTTCCTCCTCTGCAGTGCCTTACTCTTCCTGTCGGCCCTCTTCATGTTCGGCTTCCCCCAGACGCTGGACGAGCAGGACATGGACGCTCGAGGGGAGAGTGAGCAGGCCATGCTGCCCACCTCCTTGAGCCTGGACAGCCAGGACTCTAAAGCCAACGGGGACTTTCGTGGCTTCGAAATGAACAGCGGACTCTCGGTCTGGGAGCATCTGAGAGGTGAGAAGATGTAGTAGAAGGAGGTTGAATAAAGGCAACACTACTTTTATACTTGTATCTTCTTTTTTTTTTCCAGTGATCCCGCGGGTAACCAGGCATCTTCTGTCCAACCCGGTGTTCAGCTGCATCACGCTGGCTGCCTGCATGGAGATAGCTGTGGTTGCTGGTTTTGCTGCTTTCCTTGGGAAATACCTGGAGCAGCAGTTCAACCTCACCACTTCCTCAGCTAATCAGCTGCTAGGTACTGCAACCATTTTCCTCACTCAATGTTGGACTAGTGATTGTTTTACCTGTGAATTATCAGGGAGGATAATGCAAACAGAGACATATCCGGTCCAAATGGACTCTTGTAGACTATTGTTTGAATTTCTCTCACGCCACCACATGGCCAAGATGGAACATGCATACCACCAGAGACGCTTGATAGTAGTGAATAATAAAAAAATATTTCTTTGTTTATGTTGACTGTTATATAATATATTTTGATTCTTTTATGAATTTTTTTAAATACATTTTTCTGGTTTATTTCCTTAATCAATCAGCCTTTTCCATGTTAGGGTTAGGGTTTTGTTTTTTTAAAAAAACTGCATTCTGTTCCTTCATTTACTTCTAATTCTTTATCTTCCCAATTCACTCACATTTATTTTCCCTCGTCACCTTTATTAAAAATTGTAAACATTAACAGCAGTGGAAGGAAACGATTCAGTCGACATCTTCTGCTTCTCCAGGTATGACCGCCATCCCCTGTGCCTGTCTGGGTATCTTTCTTGGGGGGCTCCTGGTGAAGAAGCTGAACCTCTCGGCTCTCGGAGCGGTCCGCATGGCCATGCTGGTCAACCTGGTGTCCACGGCCTGCTACGTCTCTTTCCTCTTCTTGGGCTGTGACACGGGCCCTGTTGCTGGGGTTACGGTGGCCTACAACAATGAGTAAGACCATTAAGTTGCTAAGACGTGAGAGACTCACGTCTTATTCAACTAGTTATCTGCCGAAGTGACCCTTATGTAAGGCACTACAGACAGCCTTCTACAAAAACGTAATACTTGCGTTAGTATTTAGGAATCACCAAAAGGTTGTGGTATCAACCATCCAGACCATTCAGGTCTTCTTGTTTTAGTCCGTTCTACATCCCCCAGAACCAGAACCAATCTTATGCTCCTTAAAACTGGAACAAACTTCCAGAAAACTACAAAACTGGAGCACAGAATTTCTTTAAATCAAGTCTACCTCTCGGCTCTCGGAGGCGACCCTAAATGTTCTTGACGCGTACATTCAGGGTCGCCACTGATATGCTCTTCCTCTGCCTCTGTAGGACGCTGCAGTCGAAGAAGCAACCTGAGTCAGGCTGCAACAGCAACTGCAACTGCTACACTGCCTCAGTGAGTCCTGTCTGTGGCTCCAACGGAGTCACCTACATCTCAGCCTGCTTCGCTGGCTGCACCAAGCCAGTAAGTGGAGACAAAAAAGACTTTCCTGGACAGCGAGGAAGGAGAAACGCTTACCGTCTGGTTCGTGTCTTTTCGTCAGAACCTGAGCAGCTGTGGGTGTATACCCAGCATCGGCGGCGAGAACGAGGCCTCGCCGGGGAAGTGCTCCAGCCCCCGCTGTCAGCATGCGTTCCTTACCTTCTTGTGTGTCATCTGTGTGTGCAGCATGATCGGAGCCATGGCCCAGACGCCCTCCGTCATCATCCTTATCAGGTATGGTTCCAGTTAGCCCACAAGAGGGAGCCAGGAACATTGGGAGCTGGCAGAGGGGATGACGCGAGTTGGAGCATCCTGAAAGGAACTTTGTACGAGTGAATCATCAGAACAGATAGGAATATAGACACACATGGGAATGTTATGTCACACGTTCATGAGAATGATCAAAGTGCCAAAAATAACACACACCGCTTGTCTAAAGATTTCTATTTGGGGATTGTTTGGATCTGGGAATGTGGCGTCTATGACGGCTTGGCCTGCTTTTCTTGACTACAACAGTTTTAATCATTTCTAAGACATTTATTTTTTGCTGATTTGATTCTGATGAACAGTAGTCAGACCATTTAAAATGAGAATCATGTGTCACTTTACCAAAGGTAGCTGCAGATCATCTATACTCTAGCATATGTACAGAGAACAGGAAGACTACTGTAAATACGGACCAACCACCTGCTGAATTGAGCGGACGTTTTTACTTTGTCAATAGACTGCTGTGTTAACAACAGGTTGACATGGCATCGGGTTAACGGAAGAGTCCAGCCGCCAGCGACTGTTTTGTTTTGTGACCATGCTACAGCTAGCAGTTAACTTGATGCAACTTTGGATCAAGCAGTTCCTTCTGGAGATCACTTTTGCACATTAATCCCTTTTCTTGTTGTGTTGTTCTTGTTTTTCTTCTCAGAACTGTAAGTCCTGAGCTTAAATCATACGCACTTGGAGTCCTCTTCCTCCTCTTGAGGCTGATAGGTAAGATAAATCCATATTTATTCTCTTTAACTGTGCCGAAACACGTCCACTGTTGTTTGGCTGTAATTCCCGCTGTAAGTTCTCCCTGCTGTAGGCCGAGATGTCAGAGTGGTTTTTTCACCCACCTTAAGCATTTCATCAGTCTGTCAGCTCAGACCCAGCTGGAACGTGAGCTCAAACCTGTCCTCATACTGACCTTTTGACCTGCTGTCTGTTCAATCCCCCCCACCTCCCTCCTCACCTCCTCGTCTCCTGCTCCAGGCTTCATCCCTCCCCCTCTGATCTTTGGTATGGGTATCGACTCCACCTGTCTGTCCTGGAGCTCGGTCTGCGGCGAGAAGGGCGCCTGCATGCTGTACGACAACGTGGCCTACAGGCATCTGTACGTCAGCATCGCCATCGTGCTCAAGTCCTCGGCGTTCCTCCTGTACGCCACCACGTGGCAGTGCCTGAAAAGCAACTACCGGAGGTACATCAAGAACAACGAGGGCTACCTCACGCCCACCGAACTTTTCGCCTCCAATGTGACTCTGGACAATTTGGGTAAGGAGATTACCCAGAACCCAAGTAACAGGACAAAGTTTATATACAACCTGGAGGACCAGGAGACGAGTGACAACGTGGAGTCGGTTTTATAGTGGCGATTTGCACGAGGCCAGCAGGATCCGTTAGTGTGCATCTGATCTGGTGTACAGTCTCTCTCTCTTGGTGTTGTGCAACATGTACAGCTTTGTTCATCCAAAACATTAGATCTGTTAAAACCAGTAACAGGACTTCCAAAAGAAGGAAAGAAAAAAAAACATTCAAAATCACAAACTGACTTAGTAACACGCATTTAGTCATTTGTGGTATTTTTTTCACCTTTCAGTCTGAAAGCAGTGAAGGGTCAAATAAAATGCAGCAGTGTTGGAAACCAAAAGTGTGGTGCTGGTTCGAGGTTTGCATTCACTCCTCACTGTCATGAATGATAATGTTGGGTTTTTAGTGATGCGCAACACCAAAAACTACATTCTGTTTGTAGTCATAAAAAAGCTTTTGGCATGACTCTGCCAGCATATTTGTCCACTCTTCCTACAAGAATGGATAGATTAGCATAGCATTATGCTAATGCCATTAGCATACCAACTTTCTTTGATCTATTCCGGTGGGCAGCTGCAAATTTCAGCCGAGTTTGAAGGCGTCAGTGTTGGTGGGAAGTTTTAGATGAACTGAAACATATCCAAACTAGTTTTTGTTTGAATAATGACTTTAGTTTGCTGGATCGGCTCTGGCCTCAGCCATATTGAATATTTAAAAACTATTCCTGAAGCCTGCTCTGTGACAAGAAACTAACATATTTCAATGAGCTCCACTATCCTTGATGAGCAGAATGGTTGAATATCAAGCTTGTGTGTATTATTGTGCATACGGATCCAAATATTTAAAATAATGTAAGATAACACGTTATTTACCCCACATCGTAGTGTTACGATAATTCTACTGTTAAACAGGACACTTAAAAAGAAAAACAACTAGACGAATACAACTTTCTTGTCAGTGATGAATGTATGTAAATTTCTGACCAGCACTGTTGATTTACATTAGAGTCATGCCTGCTTTTTAGATCTGAGTACAAAAGCAGTTGAGTGTTTCACAGGTGAGATTAGAGTAGAAATGAAAAAAATTCCAGCTTTTAAGTGTGAAAACCAAACCAGAAGGATTTTAAAACTAACATTTGCTAATACGCTCCAAAACTCGTACTCAGTTCATTCCTTATGTTGGAACAAACAAACAAACAAACAAACCTTATTTTAGGTATCAAATCAAAAGAAAACATTTAAAAGAAATGAATGCTAAAACATGTATCTTCTCATTTTTTTGCACCAGCAGCCACCTCAAAGGATTTGTCAAATATTTTATATTCTCTAAAGATTTCTCAGATATCTAAGGGGGGAAAAGAGGAGAGCTACTTTCACAATTTTATTTATTGGATTTTCAGACATAGCTAAAAAAAAAACATGAATGTGAACGAGTTATAATCACATCCTACGACAGCGCCTTGGTACATGCTGGATCAGACCAATTTTTCTGAACAGTGAGCTCTTTCCTTCCACTTCAACAGAAAAGCATCCAGATTACAAAGATAAAAACGAAAAAACTGCAAACATGCACTTACAAATACGAATGTTACGTAACTTATCTTTGTAGCGTCAAAAAGAAATACCTGATTCAGATAAACCAACAACGTAATTCTATCAGACATGCAGATTATCTGAGTGGTCTAATCCCACTCGTGGGGACGCGGCCTGCAGCAGCAATGCATGGATTAAAAAAAAAAAAAAGAAAAGAAAAAAAAGCAAGCAACATAAATAACACAAGAGACTTTGTGAATACGTTCCTTTCACGTTATGGGAAGACGAGTTGAACACGAGAGAAATTGCAACGAGACCTTTTTGAGTCGCAGGAAAAACGGCTGTTAGCATTATGCCAGAGTTAGCTGCAGTTAAACGCATGCTGGTAACGCATGCACTTAAACATGAAGACAAACATTCAGCATAAAGTCACCAAGTTTTACAGTTTTTTGCCAGCAGGTCCTAGCTGAACATATGGTATATTAAACATAAGAGTCCTCCAAACTGTGTTTTGGACTATAAAAGAGCTTTATGATGCATAATGCTTTGCAATGTTGCCATTTTAAAAATATATATATTTTATCTATGCCGAGTCATAATCACTCAAGTGATCAAAGTGTTTTTTTTGTGTGTGTGTGTGTGTGTGTGCGTGATTTCAATGTACATTATATTTATTGAAACTCCCGGCAACTACGTGTGGAAACTTTAAAACAAAATCAGCCTTTTATTTTCTACAGTTGATGCACCACCACCAACTTCTCCCCAGGATTATTTCTGGGGACTGCGGTGGCCGCGGACGAAGGTTTTGTTTTTATGTTTCTGTGTTGATTTGGCTAAATGTTTTCACTTCTCTGCTGCTGGAAACCAAATCATCGACCCACGTTTCAGCTTTCAGGCAGAGTTTAATAGGCATTCATTCAAAATTTGCTGGGATTTCAAAGAGTTTATGACGCCCCGCCTTTTACCAAGCATTTGTTTAACCATTGGAAGAGAAACAGGCCCACTGGCTTTCACACACCTTTCTGAGAAGTCCCAATCAATTCTGTCCTGTGCACAGTGTAGTGCCACTTTCCGGCTATTTCAGCATTATGCTTGTTTTGCATCAAAAATTCTCTATTGCTCTCAATTCAGTTTCAATATGCATCTCATATGGGATATGGTAGGGAACTCGAGTGGAATACTGGAAACAGAAGCAGTTTAGCTAGCTTAAAAATTAGGAAACGACATGAGCGGCTAGCATGACGGGGTAGCTGGCTAGCTTACCAACTCTTTTCTAGCTATATGAACTGGATTTGTGGTCGAGTCAACAAGGGTTTAGTGGTTTGCCAACCGCCAATTAGATGAAGAAAATGAAGCGAGAAAGAAAGGCGGTATGCGTCAGGTCTGAGGTGACTTTTGTTGAGCCAGCATGGAGCTACGGTAGCTGCTTTTACGTCTACTTGTGCTCCAAATGTGTTTAGTTTTCTTATTGGAATAAAAGTTTTTTTTTTTTTTTTTTTTTAAAGGCATGTTAGGACAATCCCAAAGATTATCAAGTCATCTTTGAACTCGTAAAAGTCCACTTTTGCCAATTTATGGGGAATTATGCCACATACTGTGTTTCAAAAACTATTTTTGCTGGTTATTTTCGAAGCACACGACCCACTGAAGATCATTTGTACCTACTTTAATAAAGTATTTAGATAGCAGAGGATTTCAATACTATATCGATGCTTCTGTAGCGTCAGAAACAGATTATTATATAAATTCAAAGTGACATGGGATAGCTTTAATATATTGAATATAGCTCTATGTTGGAAATCAACCCTCAATGGACCTAAAATTGTGATTTTGCTTTGAATTGTGGGTATTTTTTTGTTTTGTTTTGTTTTATCAGATATTGCCTCAAATTCTCAAAATATTAGGTGGTAACACAGACGTCCAGTCGGAGTTTCAGGACAACTGGCTTTAATGTTAAGAATCAGACTACTTACTGAAAGGGAAGGTTTGTGGGTTTCTTACTGACAACAACCTCCGACGGTGGTGGTGGTGGCTTTGTCTTGGACATTGGTATCATCCAGTCTGTCATTGTACTAAGTCTATTGTCCAGACAAGTGCCAAAAGTGACACCATAGAAGTGTTGTGTGACGTTCTGATGAGAATATAGTCTTAAGGCGCTGCGGTGCGGAGCAGTTCCTTCAGCGTTTTGTAGCCTCTCTGTGATGACCTCGGTTTATTTGAACCATATCATGCATAAGTGTTCCCAAAAGATTATAAAGTTGTTGTATATTGACCTAGAGAACAGTAATATTTAAGATGTAGTCACTGTTCATATGTAGGACTTTTCTACTAGTAAAGGTCTTGTCTAATATAGATTAATGTCTTTCCATCTGTGGCAAAATTGACAAAATTTGTGTTGCTTTTGTCCGTATGAGAACAACACATTGCCTGTACTAAGAGTCTCTAATGTTGAGCCCCAGCTCGGCGTTGTACGACTAAAACTACGGAGAGCAGAAAAGCATCCAGACGTCACAGATTGCATCTTTCCAACTGCGCCCTCGTGTCGGGCTCCCTGCCGACGAGAGCCAGTTGCGGCCATATCAACCTGTGCGCTGTAACATTTGTGACAAAACAAACAAACAAAAAAAAAAGCAACAACAAAAGAAAAAACAAGAACATATTGTAGGTGTGTCCAACGAGTTGGCAAGTGAGGCAACACTTGCTTGACTGTGTTTTCACCCGTGGCAATAGGACTGTTTCTTTTCGCACCTAAATGTGCTTGAAATGTTTTTTGCCTTGTGATGAGAAACTAACTTGAGAGCCTAAATGTTTTTTTAAACTCTATTTTCTCATTATTCCTTCTTTGATGGCCTTGCGTTGTGATTGACTTTTATAGAGGAACTTCAATGAACGGATCATCAACATATGAAGAGTTTACTGTCCAAACGTGACACCTTGTGCAAAAGTGTTATACCTATAGTGTTTTGCAAGTTATTTTAGAACAAGAAGGAATATATGTTCTGTAAATATGGCCATAATATAAATTCGGATCAACTCTAGGAGTCAGAAAACTCTTCATATATTCATAGTATCCTTTGGTTTGAGCCTTAGCATGTTGCCTTTTAGTGAAACCTTGTGCTAACGGGTGTTAGTGATGGTTTAGAATGACATATAAATCTTATATTGCGGATGGTATTCAGTGTATGAATTTCAGGCTCTTTTGCAGGAGAGCAACATGAAGGAAAAGGACACTGATATGAAAGAATATAACCTCTATTTTCAAAGGCGCTCTGAAGAGTTTGAAATGTGCCCTTTTGCTTCTCAAGATATTTTTCTTTAAGTCTTATGGGTTTGTATTTAAAGGCTTTAAGTTTTGTGTATTTCTTGGAGATGAAACCATGATTGTATGTTTATTGTAAATATATTAAATATGCTATTTTTGTTTTCAATTTTGGGGAGTTTTGGCTTGATTATTATTTTTTTTTAACAAAGTAGTGATGAACTCATTTGAGTTTTTATATGCATGTATATATATGTTGTTATCAGTGACGTGTGGTGAGGTTCATAATCGATGAGGCACTGATTTAATCATAATCATATTTACAAATACAGACCTGCATGTTATTGTTTACATGAGCATACTGTTTACATGAGCAACTGACAACGCCACAAAAGAAAAAAAAAAAAAGCACTGAAATATTCCCACACAAAGTGCAGAACATTCAGTCTATTGCAATAGTATGGTTTTAGGCTTAATGTTTATTTTGTGATTATTAAAATAAACATTAAGTGATTACTGTGATAAGAGGAGATCAACTATAAATATATCGCTGCACTTCACTGTATGGCGAGCTCCATGGCGAGCTCCCGCTTGCTGTCTCTGACTCTGCAGTTGTAGAGTCACAATGTCTGGGATCGTGAGCGCCCCCTGCCATGAGGCAAGAGAACTGCCTGCCTCACCTCCAATCTGTTCTCTGCCGGTTCTGATCGCTCCTCAGCACACAAAACACGTTACACACAACAAAAAACACTGGACATTATATACATAAACTAAATTTGGGAAAATCAGTTCATACATTAAATGTTTTTCAGCCATTTTATTGGTGATCAGGAGGATTGAATGGCTGACTGGCTCCCATTGAATGGCAGCCAGTCAGAGAGGTTGATCAATCCCAGGTGAGGCTCAGCTCACTGCTGCCTCACCAGCTTCACTTTCGGGCATTTGAATGGGAAAATTCAGTGATTTTGAAGAAAAAAATAATCAGAACTGATTAAGCCAAATGAAAAATAGGTACTTTATAGTACAAACCACAGGGTGAAAATGGCAATATAAATTATTTTATCATATATTATTTTTCCATGATGACAGATGAGGTTCCCTCACCTGCCTCCGCTGACCGCATGTCACTGGTTGTTATGCTGATGATACTCAGCTTTGTTCACCTGTAAATCCTGAGGAATCCAATCAATTAGGTAGACCACTTTCATGTGTTTTGAACACATAAAAGCCTCGATGAATTATTTTTCTATTTTTACATTCAGTCAAGATGGAAGTTGTTTGGATCAGAGCCCCTAAAGACCAGCCTTACATTGTTCATGTAAAGAACAATGGACATATCATTCAAATCCCATAGTAAGCAGGTTTAGTAACAAGGTTTTCTTCTTTTACCTCCACAGAAGTGACAAAAATAATAATACAAAATTATATCCCCAAATGAGAAAAAAAGAAAGCTACAATCACAAGTGAAAGTCAGCAGAAGTAAGTTGTGTTGTGGCATTTAAACTTGCAAATATTAAATATATTAATACAACATGTGTGCATGTACTAAGATTGGAATCCAGTGCTACCACACATAGATATTGATCTGTAAACAGTGAAAGACTAAACTACAACATGTTCCAGTAATGTGACATCAGAGGATGTCCCCAAAGCCTAATTAAGGCCTTTCACATAGCAAAGTCTCTGAATTTAATTGGGCACCAAACCTGGCTTCCACTGTGGGAGGTCAAACGCCTAATTGGTACAATCCTGAGGAAGAAAGGAATTAGATGGTTGGGGAGAGTAAAGTACAGTATAGAAAAGGATATGTTTGCAGCCTGTACTTGTGAGGAGGAAAGAGAATAGGCAAGCCTTCTTACAAAACTATGATGCCCTAATGGAGGCACTAATGTTAGGCATGGCTGAAATAAAAGTCTGGAAGTTCTTAGGTATGGATGATAATGTCCTGTGTAAATGTATAAACCTCTTATGGTGCACAATCCATATACATGAGTGTGTGTTTCTTGAGTCACTTATTCACATGTGACACAACAGCTCTTGCCTTTTCTGGTTTATCAACACCTTGAAGGGACCCTTCCACCTTGAGGGAAACTTGTTAAATATTTTGTGCAAAGTCATCCAAAACAACAAGGTGATCAGGTTCATCAGGGTAAATCACCTTTTTTTGGCATTCTGGGGCTTCAGGTGTTCTTTGCAATACATCACAGCAGGTCCACCCACAGTTTAGCCTATTCACAGTCCAGTATTCACAGACTGACCTATTTGCACGTTTTTCTGTGGAATGTAACTAAATTATTCGCAAAACACCCACCTATTTGCAAGTCTCACATAAAACATATCTAAAAAATTGTAAACAAAATGCAGCCACGGAAGCTGGAATATTTGGGTGCAACACTCCTTGACATGGCATTGGCTGGTATGTGCAAAGTACACAATCCAGGAACACCATTTATTTTCCTTGATGTTGACTGTCTGTGCACCCAAGAGTGGAAATAAGAGAGTGAATCAGCTTCTGCAGTAGTGCATTATTTTTAATTGTGTACATCAATGCACAGCAAGGTATACTTGGTGTTTGAACTATTAAAATAGACAGCTGTAAGCCTTTTTGGAGGGAGTCTTAAGTATTTGTGGGTTTTCTTCCCTATTGCCCATAAGCCCTGCGAATACTGGTGCTCCATTTTACATCAGTTTGGGAGAAGTACTGAATGGACACAATATGGTGAGGTACAAGTTTTGGTTTTACCGACTGAGTACAAATCTTTCCTGGCTCTAGGGTTAGGGTTAGGGTTTTGCTCAGACCAACTGAACCTTTCAGATAGGTTCTGTAGCAACTATAGACAAAGATGTCATCAAGATATTTTACCAGTCCCTCCAGTGTAGACCCTTGAGTACCAACACAATGCCTCTTTGAAAGGTTGAGGGTACATTTGTTACCAATATGCTTGACCTTGAATTGGTATAATCTGTTATCAGTGTAAATGTGATACTTCAGGGCTTGGCAAAAAAAAAATTGTTTTCAAAAGAGGCCTCCATCTTTCTTTCTCACAAAAACAATAGAGGAAGACCATAGGCTGCAGCTCTCCTCAGTTATATCTGCTGCACCTTCCTGTCTATGTCTGCTCAGATGTTGAGTGAAGGTCTGTATGCTCTTTGCTTGATGGGTGGAGCCTCATCTGTCTGACCACATCTGTGCGTCCATTGTCTTAGTCGTGGACAGTGAACATGTCACTGCAAGTTAGTAATAGTGCTTCAAGTTGTCCGCATTGGTCATCGCCGAGTCCTGAGTGGTGAAGATCAACGTCAGGTAATCCTGGTGTAGGAGGAGGAATAGCTGTTGTTTCATCTGCTGCTACAGTATTCTTCACTACATAGTAGTAATCTATCACTAACTTACCCCAGGGGGATGAAAATCACCTAGTCTGGTGTCAGAATGCACTTGGGTGTCAGCTGTAGTTGGATTCATTACTCTGACATATGTCAACCCTGCCTGTACCAGTGCAAACATGTTTGCTGCTAACAGACCATGATAACTTGGTGGACAGGGCTCCAAAACAGGTGCGCAGTCAGTTTTAAGATCAAGTACTTCAATATCGAGCTCAACTTTAGATAACGCAATCATCTGTGAACTAGGACAGGTTATTGCATGCTGTCATTTGTCACATCAAGCGTTAAAGTGAAACTAAGCTGCTTATATGGTAGGTAGAGTTATGGTAAAGTGATTTTCTATTTTAAAAATCCCTTGTCTCAGATCCAAAAGCACTTAGTAGGAGAGCAGAAAGGATCGGACAACTACGGTAGGGTAGGATAACTGGGTATGTGACACTTCTGAATTCCTGAACTGGATGAGTGAATACTTTGTTATCCATTCTAACCACGCTAGCAAGTATCTCCAGGTTATTTAAACAGTCACTAGTAATAGTTCTGGGATAAAGTTTTCAGCCAACTTATAAAGTGCGGTTGAATTATGTGGGGGTCAAAAACTCGATTAGTGAGCAGAACTAGCAACAGACACTTGGCCTTCACTTATTGCTACCATTCTTGTCCCTGACCATGGAAGTCTTTATTAAAGAACGTTATAGCTGTTTGTGTTTGGGGTGTCTGTCCTTAGTAGCATAGTAAATGGTAAATGGCATGTACTTGTATAGCGCTCCATCAAGTTCAGTGGACCCCTATGCGCTTCACACTACATTCAGTTATTCACCCATTCACACACACACTCACTACTACAGAGTAGCCACATCTGCCCTTTGGCAGGCTGACAGAGGTGAGGCTGCAGTGCATCACAAGGCCCTCTGACCCCGACCAGCAGGCAAGGCAAGTGAAGGACACTTGCCCAAGGACACTTGCCCAAGGACACTTGGTCTGCAGCCTTTGCTAACATTCTCGTCCTTGACCATAGATGTCTTTATTAACCCGTTTAATCCCAATTCCCCCTCCCCCAAATTAAATGAATCCATTTCAATCATTGCACCTTTCTAACACATATTTATGATTACATTTTATTACATTTTATAAGTCTAAATAACACAAATCTGGCCTATTTATACATATTAAAAAAGAAGAAAAATGACATGCATGACCTATTATAACAAAGAATGGTTACAAGAGTGTTCAGAAATATTTTAGATCCATAAAGATTCAATGCTGCAGATGTCACTGTCTCAATTTCATGAAAGAAATGACCAAAAAACCAGGTAAAAATGTCAGTATGAACAAATCTGCTAATGGCAGGAAATTCTCCCTGTTCTACCAGACCAAGCAGTACACCTCGGCTCTGTCCTAAAGTAGTTTCAGACGTGGCATCACCTTGTAGAGGTCATTCAGTGCATAGGCCACAGTTTGTGGATAGGGTAATCTTTTGGGGGGGTGAAATAGAGGAGGGTTTCCACTGTGGGAATGACAGTGATCAATAGTAGACACTTCAAAGAACATATGTTCAAAATATTTTATTTCTATTTGTTAATTTAAATATTTTTCTGACTTCCCCTTGTGTGACAGACATTTACCTCCAGTGTTACAGGCAGGAAGTAAAGAGGTCTGGTCATGTGACCTTTCACATTAGATACATAAAATTGATATTGCTTAGAGTAGACACATTATTATTTTATTTTAAAACTTCTTCTATGTCACATTTGATTTATACAACATTTTTGTAGCAATTGAAGGTAA